CATATATGAAATATTTCATATATGAAATTTGTTTCAATTCCATTAACGATTTCATATATGAAATATTCATATATGAAATGTTATGTGAAATTTTTGTAACGGGGGTCACGTGACCAGCCCCGACAAGGGTCTTTGCTTCACAAGAGCAAAGAGCATGGAAACGAGGTTGGTTATTAATTGACTTCCATGCTTTCTTTGGATTGTGTTCTTGATAGGCAATTTTTGAGGAATAATAATTGTTTTTAGCATTTCTCATTTCAATATTTACCTGATTTCTAATTTTTTTGTAGTTTGACCAATCAGTTTCTAACTTGGTGATAATTGTTTTTCTTTTTAATTTGTCTCTCGTACTTATGAGACCCTTAATTTTGTTTGTTATCCAAGGCACTTTACAGGACTTAGTTTGTGTTGTATTGGAGCATGTTTGTTTAGAACTTCTAGAAAAAGTTCCTTCCATATTTCCCACATAGCATTTGGATCATCACCGAAAAAGTATATGTATTCCCAATTGTTATATTGTGAGAAACAGTATATATATATGTAAACGTTAATACTTAGAGGAAACTATTATGAAATATGTACATCGCTTCTACTATGCCTCGTGTCCCTGTGTTTGTCCTTCCCCGTAAGTCCTCTTCCTCGAATCCCGCTACACAGTTCACTTCCGTCAACTACGTACTTCCGCTATTAGAACACAACACCAATGTTGATTAAGAAGTTCATGTACAAAATTATTTTCATTAAAATTTTTCATATTTCTAATTTCAACAAAATCATCAGCCTTTTGAAAAACTCTAATGTTTCTGATTGCATAGTGTGGAATTTTCTCAAGTGTATTAGTGACTAGATGGTCAATAAGCTAGATGTTGTCATAGTAACACGAGTTGGTTCATTTATCAACTGGGATAATTGGTATAATTCATATAATGAGTTTAGTTTGTTTGTTGGCATATCTGAAAGAGCTTTCTTTTCTAACAAGTTGCAATTTAAGTCACCTAAGATGTACATTTCTTTATTTTCATCATCGGTTTGTTTAATAAGTTTTTTCAAATGGTCAAAAACTTCTGCATTTGCATTTGGTGGTCGATAAATTGTAGCGACAATAAATGGTTTACTTTGTGGTTTAGTAATTTCCAAACAAACAGCCTCCAATTCAGGGAGATGAGATCTGATCTTATTTTGTAATTGATGGAGCTACGAAGGTATATACAAACTTCACCTCCGTTGTGGGATCGATCCTTTCTAACAATCTCATTACCATGTAAATGAATGAGGCCGTCAGAAATACTCAGATCTAGTCGCGTCTCGTTGAATGCAATTAAATCAATGTTTTTGCTACACACTGAGTGACGAATTTCATCTATTTTACTAGGTAAAGTAACAATATTTAAAAAGGCCATCTTAAAACTTTTTTCATTGGGAATAGATTAAGGCTAGTCAAAAGATCGCTACTCACATTTTCATTTGACATATCTATATTAATCTTAGGATAAATATTAATGCGCAGTATAAAACACGTAAAAGAGCCATAACAAAAAAATAATTTAAAATATTTATTTGAAAACTAACGTTTCGTCTTTAATTAACTTAAGACATCTTCAGAGCAATGACATACAAAGCGGAAAACACAGAAATATGAATAAATTACAACTATTTACAAGATGTTATATTACAAAAAGTAGAAAGAGGAATGGATCAGAGTAGAAGTAGAGGGACCGAGCTGCCCTGTAAGTTGAGAGAGGGTTTGAGATTGTTAATGAGAACACTTTCTCGAATGAGGAGTTCATCTGGAGAAGAGCAACAATAATATTTATCCTAAGATTACGATTTCCGCCTGGTTCATATATCTATATTAACTAATTTCTCAGTACTTGACTGACAAACATTAGGTATTCTGTCCACTGTGTTGTATGCCGTGCAGTTTGGTGAAAAAACGGTGATTATTTCTGCTCGGTACTTGCCTAGTGTTTATAGCTCTACTTGTAATGACTTTAAATAGGAGCGAAAAGCACTTTAGTGCTTTATCACCTGCTTTGTTCAAGTGTAAATTTGGACCATTCAAAAGACTTTTGTCTATATCATCGTTATTGATGTAATTTATGTTATGCTTTGTGCATAGATTATATACTAAATTATTATAAGACGTTAGCTAACTTGCATGCACTCGACCATCATGCCTCTCAATAACGCTCGACACAGCAACTCTCTCTGCTCAATTCTTCACCTCCTCAATTAGAACATCCATCTTCTTCGCAACATTGTCAGCATCCTCCCGCACCAGGTCGCTCGTTCCAATATGGAGAATGATCGTCTTGTGTTTCTCTTCATGGCCATTCTGCTGCAATTTCTGATGCAATTGCGGAACAATGGCACCACTGTATGATTGGCAAATGCTTTTCCCTCGTGCCGCTTTTCCAATCTTCTTTTCATTAATATTCTTCACCATGGAGTCTCCAATGACCAGAGTTTTCTCAATTCCCTGTTGGCTTAGGGGTTGGGGGTTCCGTTTTTTCTCTTTACTTACTTTACGTACATTACGATGTTGTCGACTTTTGTGACTAGTGGTTGGTTACAGGGTCGTTGTTGCTATCATTAATATTTTCAACTGGCAAGCTGGATTCTGTAATGGGATCTTCAACAACTAGGGCAGCGTATCGGTTATCGGTTTCTATCAATGTTACGGTCTTGGTTGTTGCTTTATCCGGGATTCCGCTTGAATTCATTAGTTTTGTTTATTGTCAAGCAGCGTCCTGATACTTTGTTATTCTCAGCAACAAGCAAAGATTGCGCTCTTTTCTCACTCTGAGATTTTTTCTCGAGTTTGCTAAGCCGGGACAAAACCATTTCCAATTTTTCTTCTATTTCACGATGACTGTCGACGAAGGTTTCATCTTTCTCGCGCTCTTTATACGTCGGTGAAGGGAAGGGCAAAGCCATAGCACCGCAAAGCACGTGCTCGTTCGGATCAATATTTTCTCGGGTCACGTTTGCTTTATTATCATCATGTGCGTTGTTCTTTAAGCGGCTTAAAAGGTCATCATCATGATCCTTCACTATTTCGATCTTTTTCTTTTTGGATCCTTGCTATTTAAAGAGGAATTTTCCATCTGACGCGGTAAACATTTTTACATCGTCACTTGGCGATTTCCAATTCCCCGTCAGCTTTAGAACATCGAGCGTAAAGTGTTTTAATTCTTGTATATTTCCCTTCCATATAAGCCACAAACAAGATGACTGTTTTTTATAGATGTTATGTCGCTTTTACTCTCAACTTTTAAGGTAGAATTTGTCAAACAAACGGAGCTCTGAATTTGTTGTCTGACCGCCACGATACCTGTCACTACACGACCTCGATCTACTCGATCAGGCTTAGCGAACTCTCGCTGATTCAGTGCCTTTTTAGGGGAAAGAATCCCCCCCCCCCC